TTTCGCTAATAATGTAATACTGTATATCTCTCCTTATAGTCTCTGCTTATATGCAGTGTTCACAATAGTGATGTACACTATATTAAAATATAAATAACGTTTGATTACAATTAGACTAAACTAAATACATGGAAACGAAAAGGATTTTAATTCAATATCATAGATCTGATTTAATTTAGTGTAGAAATTCATTATATGGGTATATCATCTATTCCATATTCTAAGAAACTGCAAGGGAGAGAAGAGGCCTTATATATCAGATATAAATTTTTAATTTGCTACTCCCACTTTCTGCGTTTGTTAATTGTTGGCAGATTATTACGCCTATTACCATTTTTTAATTTGTTAGCGATACAGTAGTCTCAGTACGGTAATGTAGTATGCGTTGTTGTGCGGCTTCAGTGGGTAGTTTTACATATAGTAAAACTGTCTTCACTTCTACGTAAGTCTTCATGTCAAAATCTGCGGATCACTTTGATATGTTTTCATCTATATATAAAATGCATCACAAACAGAATAACCCAAGAATGGAGCCTTGTGGCATTCCACTCAAAATATTATTCCCGTCGAATTCTGTTCCATTTATGATGTGTCTCTTTTTTCCTATTTCACCTCTTTTTTTTTTTATCCATTCCAGAATTGTGCCAGTAATCCCATCAGCTTGGATTTTCCGGCTCAGTCTTTCATATGGCTCTTTGTCGGATGCTTTGAAAAAAGCCCGTGGTGAAGCATCTCAGCTGGAAAACCCTGGTCAGTGTAACCGGTCACAGTTTCAAGAAACGCGAGCAAGTTAGGTAAGATTATTTTTCGCCATAAAGCCCCAATGTAATATTTTGAATGGATTGTACAGTGTGAGACAGTTAATTTTGGTTCGATGAGAGAGGCTAATTGTTCACTCCGATAGTTGACATTTGATTGCTCAGAGACGGTTGGTGATTGTGCACTGGGGCACTGACGTTTGTGCACTGAAAGACGGTTGATTATTCTTCACTGAAATCAGCGGGTTATTGCGAATGAGGATAACTGTGCACTGAGGAAAACCTGAGTATTACGCAGAGATAATGATTGATTACTGATATACTTAAAGTTGCTACAATGAGATATAGATGACAGTGGTGCACTGTTAGATGTGGTTGACGATTGTTCTCCGAGAGCTAGTTGATGGTTGTGCAGTGAGAAATTGTTGCTTAAATTTTGCACGGACAGTATAAAGATTGTTCACGAATATGGATAATGAATTGGCTGAGAGATGGTTGTTGATTAAGCATGATGATTGTACTGACAAATAATTGATGATTCGTTTCCTGAAATGTCTATAGAGCTGGCAGAAATTAGAGGAAAAGTTTGTAGAGTGATTATTATCGTTCGTGTTCTGACGTGACTGATAGTATGTAACTGTGTAAGCTCTTATTAAACAAAAGCTGAATGCATCAGCAAAGTGCTGTTATCCTATTTGATGCGATAGTTACACAGTGGTAATAAAAGCTATTCCTTGTCGTGTTCTGTCACGCAGATGGGATTCAAATCTGTCAGCCTGAGCTGGAAGACTTCAGTGGGGGCAATTAAGATATCGTCAAGCATTTCAGAAAGGGTTCCTCACCTACAGGAGCTCTAAAGGTTTCGTTCGGCGTAGCGGGAGTTACTGTCACTTGGAAATTACCATGACACGAGGGGCAGTATGTACTCTTGTTAGGATACTAGGCGTAGTATGTACTCTTGTAGGGACAAGAGTCACAATATATACTTATATGAGACAAACAGAGACTCTTACATTTGTCATTAAAACATCAGTGAATGATAAAACTCTCAGAAGACATAGAAGAGCAACGCGGAATTCATATTCTGTAGTACTCGATTATTTTATATTTATAACAGACAAGTGTTGCCTAATGCTCAAATGTTTCGGGTATTCTGAAGACAAGCGACAACGATACCCGTGATTGGTCATACATTACGCACATGCGTTACCATTGGCTGCGAGGCGAGGGATCCCTCGTCCAATCAGGCATCAGTTTGCCTCTTGAGGTTTATTATCCGTGAGCGAATTGTGAAGTGTAAGTCGGACGTAAATCGCGACCAGTGATGTGTGTTAGCGTGACCCTTCAGTCAGCTCCTCTCGGCATCTACCAGGCACTAAGACCCTCGTTGTTCCACTGGGACCTACACTGCCTGGGACCAGCACGCTTGCGGTCTCCACAAGCGTGTTTGTCCTGCGACTAGCGGACGAAGGATACAACCTCCAGCTTCACATAAACACTGTGCAAGACTAATCATCATAAGTCAGTGCCTATAAAACAAAAAGTATTATTTACTAGTTTGGATTGAAATGATCTTGTTCATTCGCTTGCACGAAGAGAATTATGCTGTGTGATATTCTGTACTCTGTACTGAAAAATAAATAGCAATCCACACTCCAACATTAAAGTGGATTAAATGCGTGTGTGTGTGAGCTAGATAACATTGTGCTCAGAATCTGTCCAGAGAAGTACCTACGGGCTACTACCTCGGGATTTGCTTTAACAATACATGCAGCTTTTCTCAAAAATGCTCGTGCATTTTTCCGTATCTCGATGCTAAACCGATATCACAGACTGTGCCAGCCCTGCAACTTATATATGACACTGTTGCAACCCAATGCCTAGTATATAACACTGTGGTAGCCCATCGCCTAGTATATGACACCGTGCCAACCCTATGCCTTGTATATGACACCGTGCCAGATTATCGTCCCCTATGTAATCTAACCGATACATATTAACAAAATAACCTCTTAAAAGACAATCACATTATTTTTAAAGAAATGTTATGATTTACTGGTAGCAAATCAACCTGTTCATATGTGCTGTAACATACCTGTGAAAAATTTCGAGAGTTGTGCTTTCGACGCCCGGCCTGAGGTCATATTTCATTACAGACTTCCTTATAACCTGGCTGTTGTTGCCAGCACGTCACCATAGCTATTGTGTATAGCTATTGCAACCTGTCTAATCTGGAACTTTTCAGATAGCTGTCCAGTCTTGCCTTTCAAAAAAAAATCACACTTACAATTTTTAATTTCTATAGAGCAACCATTAAGTTTAAGGAAATATTATTTAAGAAAAATATGTAAATTCGTACAATTAGAACAAGTGAGGGGAGGTGGGACAATGGTTCTGGCGGCCGTGACGTAACCTCTTAACAAATTCGTGAGGAGTGATGCTTCTCTTCTGATGTGTCGACACTGTTCAGTTACGCCACCACTCTTGTCTCTCTGCATCCCGCTCTCACACTCAGCGTGAAAATCAGTCTCTGGTTAACACTCTAATATTAAGTTAACACTAATCTGCTGCCAGTATGTTTTCTTAGAAATTTACTCATTGATAGTAAAATATACGTGTATATGTATGTATGTGGTTAAGTCCTGCGTTCTCTGATACAGAGTTTGCAGGCTCGAGTTCTACTGTGAACGTAGAGATAATGTTTGTAAATAAATTCTCCTGTTTGCGAATTGTTAAGCATTTCAAATCTCTCTCTCTCTCTCTCTCTCTCTTCTCTCTCTCTCTCTCTCATCTCTCTCTCTCTCTCTCTCTCTCTCTCTCTCTCTCTCTCTCTCTCTCTCTCTCTCTCTCTCCTCCTCTCTCTCATATATATAATATATATATATATATATATATATATATATATATATAATATAATATATATATATAATATGTCGTACCGAATACGTATAACTTGCGATTTTGGCTTAAATAACAACGCTCTTCTTGCCGAATAAAGCAAACAAAAATTTGTGTATACAATAATTTCGCCAAAGTCATTCTGAACCTAACGAAAAAAATATATTTCATTGTGTTTGTTTATTATTAAATTATTGTAAACTAATCTAAAATATATTTAGTTGATTAGGCTAAATTAAATTGAACTTGTCATAATAAGGTTAGGTAAGTTTTCTAAGGCCGTTTTGGTACAAAATCATTAATTTTTACATTAACATAAATGAAAAGAATGTATCTTTAAACGTATAAGAGAAAATTTTATAAAGGACTTAATTTTAAATTAGTTCTTGCTTATTGACCAATTTTACCTATTCGGCAATATATATATATATATATATATATATATATATATATATATATATATATATATATATATATATATTTTTTTATTAACACATAGGCCGTTTCCCACTAAGGCAGGGTGGGAAAAACATTCATTTACTCCATCACTGTCTGCCAGAGGCATGTTTACACTACAGTTATAAAACTGCAACATTAACAGTACCGGAACTGTACTTCCCTCCAGCCTTTCCTAGGCCGACCCTTATCCCGCCTTCCCTCCAGTACAGATTTATGCACTCTCGAAGTCATTCTATTTTGTTCCATCCTCTCTACATGTCCAAGCCATCTCAACAACCCCTCTTCAGCACTCTGGATAATACTTTTGGTAATGTTGATAAATTAGACACATGTGCAACACTCGGGTATCTTCAGTGAGGAAACGTTTCGCCACACAGTGCTTCATGAGCACTGTGTGCGAAACGTTTCCTCACTAAAGATACTTAAATTAGACACATGTGCAACACTTATCAGTTTTGGTAATCCCACACCTCCTCCTAATCTCAAACTACGGATTCTCTGCATTATAAATATAAAATAATATATATATATATATATATATATATATATATATATATATATATATGTACACAAGTACATGTACAAGGTATACAGGCCTAGCTGACATCAATGACATACTACAATATAGAAAGCCGCTTGTTATGTAGAGCATTTCGGGCAAATTAGGTCAATTTTGTCCCGGGATGCGACCCACACCAGTCAACTAACACCCAGGTACCCATTTTTACTGATGGGTGAACATGGACAACCGGTGTAAGGAAGCACGCCCAATGTTTTCACCTTTGCCGGGAATCGAACCCGAACCCTCGGCGTGTGAAGCGAGAGCTTTGCCACCAGGCCACAGGCCACCAACTGCTATGAAATGTATATCATGGTGTACTCAAATATACTGAGTTCAGGCTTAACAAATTTATCAAGGGCTGTGTTATGTACAGAACAAAACATTTCCGAGGCATTCTGACTTTAAATCTTAGAAAAAATCAAGTGTAATGGTGAGTTTCTTGTGCATAAACCAAGAATTTTTTAATATGAGCAGTGAAAGTTATTGATAATTAACTAATACTTTTGAGAGTGGCAAGGAAGTTAAAACACAAATGTAAATGACAACAAAATAACGCGAACTGTAGGAAGGCTAGCAACGAGAATCACGAATTTTGAAGACAGTGTTAACTAAGAGAACTCGAATATGAAGATCTAAATAAGGCAGAGGGATGCAAGAACACTACAACTCAACACCTGGTCACATTCTGACGTGACGAACATGAAGATGGACGTTAAGACAACCATCGTAGCCTCTCTGCTGCTTCTTTCTGCTCGCAACTCTCACGGCTACTTTGGGTGAGTAGAAGTTTTTCTCTGTATGAAAGAGCTTTCTGCTACATTATCCTAATCTCAACTGTCTAAATAGAATTAAAAGTATCTAGAGACGGTTGTAATTGTGTTTCAGTGCCGTATACGTTGGAGACAAGAGGTTCTACGTGGGAGAGGGTGTGAGGGTGTATAGTGTACGTAGGGATAACTGTGAGAGTGAGTAGTGTACATGGGAGTGACTCTGAGGGTGTGTTGTATACGTGAAGATGGCTATGAGGGTGTGAGGCGTATGTGGAGATGGATATGAGGGTGTAGGGTGTACATGGGGATTACCATGAGTGTGTGTGGTGTACGTGGGTGTCCTGAGAGGGATAGATACACCAGGTCCAGAAAGAATAGATACACCAGGTCCAGAGAGTCATAGATACAACAGGACCAGAGAATGACATAAACCAGGTCCGGGGAAACGATAGATACACCAGGTTTTGAGTGTTAAATTTTAGTTTTATTATAATTATAAATTTTGTTTTCTAGTTTTGATATTAACATGTGTTTGTGTGTCGGCAGAGTGTCCAGCAGAAGCAAGGTAGACCGGAGTCTTCTCACAGCCAGCACTCTTACCCTGAACCTCTCCAGCGTAGACCAGCGTACGGTGAGTGGGGGTTAGTGTAACTGGCAGGGAGATGGGAGAGTTGCTCCGTAGGCTCGAAACTAATACTGAATTTTCTGACACAATACAAAAAGTACTAATAAGCAAAACAAGGCTAGACTTAGCAAAGGTCAGAAAAGTAAGTGGTAGTGGTTAATGAGACCTTTCAGAATTAGAGAAATAGTGACAATTGCGATGCTATTTAGAGTCACTTGTGCTCTCTCCTACTAAACATTCCTAGTTGCTGGGAGTCGTCATTGGTCACGTGAACAAGCTATTTATTAAAAGAATTTGGTCCTCCTTACCATACAGAAGTATTGAAAATTTGAAGACGATTGGACTTGGCGTTCTCTAGTTGTGAGAGGAAAATATATAAAAAAAAGGTAAGGCAACCAGTTAGAGGTCCTGTTTGTTGATACCTAAAGAATAATGAAGTTGAATTATCTTTACCTTTTTTTTTTCATCCCAAAACCCGCTCCTGGCTGCAGTGTGAGCGTGTAGGCGTGCGTGGGTGGGGTCGGCGAGAATGTGGGCGGTCGGAGGAGGTAGCGAAGGTGCTGGTGGAGGCTGCGTGGTTCGGGGCAAGGCAGTGTCAGCATCTTACCCGCTACGACAGGTGGAACTGCTCTCTCGGCACCACCAGGAGCAGGATCATGAGGAAAGGTGAGCAGAAGCTCTATTATCTTCCCCCCTTTCTCTCACTAATACAAAATCGTTGTTCATCTGCAGCAGCTGTATTTCAGTGTAAGCTGTAATATATTTTGCTAGCAAGCTTTAATAAGTATTTTAATACTCTCTTCCACTCTCCGAATCGTCGTCCAGAGCCTGTAGATAATTCTTTAGTAACTAATACTATCCATGCTACGTAAAAGTTTTGCTGATTACACTGGCCAGGCTCCAAGAGTACCAAGAGTACTCAGACCAGGCTCCAAGAGTACTCAATTCGCATCCTGACTTGTGGATATATTTGAGAACTTTCAACGCATTACCAGTTATTCGAGTTACGTTTCAGTGGGTATGACAGAATTTGTGGAAAATGTATGTACACTTTAATTCCTATTGAAGTAACTTGGGACAAAAAATATGTTCATAATATCCTACTTTATTTCGATAAGCATTAAACTTATCAGTTTTAAAAGTTCACTAGAGATGCGTCAGACCACATTAATATATTCTGAGGTGCATTTCCTTTAGATGTGTATGCAGTGAGAGCAGCAATGTATGTTCAGAGGGGTGTATATGATATACACATCTTTGTTCATATACAGTTATACAATACATCAGTACATCTTGGTTTTTATACATTAATAAGTTACTTTAATTCCTGTTTTCAGGATTAGTCTTCTTGACTGGTAGTGTACACATGGCAGGCAGTTTTAATGACCCATTGCAAGCACATGTAAGTGTCTCCTGTATCCCTAGAATCCTAACAAGTGAAGGGGAAGTGAAAGGGAGGAAATGCTTTTTTCAACCATGACTTTGACATCAAGTTATTTTCTGGCTCTTAATCGGGTTCGTGGATGATGGATCTTTTTACTGAAAAGACAGATTTAAATTTTTCTTCCCTGGGAGCCTCTGTAAAGGGTTACTAGATTTATTTCAGCCTGCTCTCTTTAGAATTTCTTCCGACATCTTTCAGTACGATTATTTAGGTTTAAAAAAATGTTTTGTGATCAGTACATAGGAAAACCACGTTCTCTTAGGGGATGGGGTGAGGTTTTCGTTTTTTGTTTTTTTGCGTATCAATTTTACATTCTAAACCCAAAGCTTATTTCATAGCCCAACCTTATCTGAAGTATACTGCCACACCCCAGGATGCCACCCACACCAGTCAGCTAACAAGAGGGACAGCAGGTGTAAGGAAACACGCCCAATATGTTCACTTGTACTTCGGATCGAACCCCGGACACTCAATGTGTGAGCTGAGTGTGCTACTAACCGAGCTACAGGTGTATTGCGAATAGCTGATCTTGTTAACGCTGCATATGCTAACCTTCGCATGACTGCTTTTCAGGGCACGCTTCCTTCCCCGATGTGCAACCTGACGGGGGTAAGCGGTCACACTAGGGCGTTCATTTCCAAAAGAAGGATCGAGCGCCCACTTTACAATCATATAATATAATTAATGTTATAATTACATCTTTCTCCCCTCCGTCAGTGTTCCCGGAGACAGCGTTCCTGCAGGCGATGTCTGCAGCCTCTGTGTCGTATGTGCTGTCTCGCACCTGTGCTCTGGGCCGCCTTACCCACTGTTCTTGTGGCGCCTCCTCCCAGGATGAAGCCGAGACTCTCAGAGCGTGGAGCTACGGCGGCTGTAGCGATGATCTCACTTACGGCAAGAGGTCTGTTTCCTGCAGCACCCTATGTTGTTTATGCTCATCTTTCTTCAGTTGATTCTCACCGTCTTATTTTTTTCTTCATTTGAAGTTAACATAAATCTTTAAAAACGTTGTTTAACCAGGTTTAAGCAAATTAATAAAAAGTAGCCAATACACATCTAAGTTGCGGCAGCGCACCACGAGTGAAGAATATACAAATCTGTACAAGTATCACTAAGGATGTGGCTGTACTATGGGGTTGGTTTCTTCCATTGTTCGTTTCTTTGGGGGTGGTAGGACGTACGTCTCCATGTGGGATAACTATAGTGAAGACTCTTGATAATGACAGTGGAGGAAATTTAATCTGTTCTTTCCTCGGGTGAAAGCCAAATGCCTACCACCTTCCCCGGAAATTATTGGTTGCATTGTAGAGCTTCCTGTAAAGTGGCGTGTTGGCATATATACTTGGAATGAATATGAATATACATTGTGGGATGCGACTAAAAGGCTTTACATTGTTTTATTACACGAGACGTCACGATTTATGTAATATGGAAGCAAACTGGTCACTATATCAGGATGCTGGTAATTATTTAAGCCAATTGAAAATGTCTGAAAAAATGATTTTTTTCAAAACTGCTAAATAACCAATGGATTCTATTTTCTAATGTTACAAATAAAGCGAAGTTCATGAGAGTAACGATATTTACGCCGCCAGGAGAGTTACACGGGGCCCGTCACAAGTAACCTAAAACTATGAAAATAGATGTATATTGTACTCAAACACATCTTTGATACACACATCACTACATACCCTACAACACATACCACCATACACAGCAACACATCATTTGCGATACACGTACAACGTTAATCATATACATAGCCGCAAAAATCTCGCCTTTATAACCATTTTATACTCGAGAAGAATAAGAACAGCTATTGTCATTCACTAAGAAAACTATTGTATAACTTAACTTTATAAATCTTACATGAAATCGAGGTAAGATTCTAAAAATATTCACTTTTTTAAGATTTGCAGAAAGGATTTTTTTTGGAGAAAGGCGAAGGCAATCGAGGCGGAAGATCGGGTCAGGGGTCAAGCTGACGCCCACGTCGAAGATCGACCCAAAATACAGATCAGCTGATGACCACCAACCTCCCGATAGCAGAGACTTCAAAACACAAATCGACGCTCACAACGCGCGAACTGGAATCCTGGTAAGGATGCAATGCAAACAAAAAATATTTAGTGTGTGCAAAATTTAGTGCGAGAAAAAATCAACGAACCTCTAAAGAAAATGAAAGATCGTGGACTAAGCAGACCCTGACGTACTTAACAGGATTAATTTAAAAGAGTTCGTGAATTTATTATTTTTCACTAAATTGTATTTAGATCGTTGAACTATAAATTTAACTAGGTATTTAGTGAACCTGTACTGTAGAGTAAGATATATGTTAAATATTTTCGGTGTAGCTAGAGACCCTCACCTGGCAACGTGGGCAGCTTGAAAAGGAGTCTCTTGCAATGCCGAAAATGTCTGCAGTATCTCATTACGAAGTGGGATATTTCAATGTAAATTTTCACTATCCTTATTGTCTCGTGTCTCAGATGGTGATGAAGTCGGCACAGCAGAAGTGCAAATGTCACGGGGCATCGGGTTCCTGCACCCACAGAACCTGTTGGATACAGCTTCGTCCCCTCTCTGAGTCCTCCAGAGTCATCAAGAGCCTTTATGATACCGCAGCTCTGGCTAATACTAGCAACGAAGTGCAGGTAACATTCGCCGGCGGTGATGACGTGCTGGATGAAAAGGGGAGTAACATGATAGTCACAAAAAATCTTAAAAAAAATCACTGGGCTTTTTTTGTAACGAATTTAAATCGGCTGAATATCTTTTTTTCTATTGCTAGCGTTCCACTGACATATTTATCCTAGCATTAGTTCAGGCTCCGTTTAGAGTAAGGTATAGTATAGTTGGGATGTATTCCAGATTAGGTTGTATTGGGTTGAGTCTGATCTGGAGAATAGTGGTGAGTGTAGTTCACCTGTGACTTTTATTATTGTCATTTTCACTTTCTTTTGCCATTGGATTTTTTCCAAGAATCACTTTAATCATCTGCGGCTCAGATGATCCTGGTAAAGGGTAGAAGGTATGAACTAGTGTTTGGTATTGTAGGAGTCAGAACTTTATTTCTCATACTGGATGGTCGATCATATCATATAATCGGAAGAAAGTAGCCCATTACCTTCCTCATTGACCCATAGACATATTAATATTTTAATTTTAACTCTCTCGTGAATAATGCATCGCAAAGGATTGACTTCTCTTGGTATGAACTGTCCTCACAATATGTTCCGTGAACGTAAATATTATTAACTTCCAAAGACTCGCTCAATAAACAGTGGAGTATTAAAATAAAATGTAAATGTTCTGGGTATGTTTACGCAACAGTAAAATGTAAATGTCTGTAACATTTAACACAATAACAGTAATGTGAAATTGTTTTCTCAGATTGCAAACAGGTCAGGCAGTAGGGAGAAGCGAAGGTTTTACCGAGCTGCATTCAAGGATACAGTCATTGAGGGCTTCAACAGTTCCCCACAAGAATACACTCTCTCGACAACGAAGATACCTGACGAAGGAGCCTGGGTGGAAAGCAGGGTGGTGAAAACGAGAGAAAATGTATCATCAGATCTTTATAGAAACGTAAACGCTCTCGCTCGCAGACCTTCGAAAAGAAAACAGGGAAAGAGAAGAATTTTCCGAGAGAAAAAAACGCCTGTCAGGTCATCATTTGGTAACCCAACAGAGTTAATCTACCTGGACAATCCACCCAACTTCTGTCGCAAGAACAAGTATGGACCAGGGACTCGAGGTCGATACTGTGAAAAGAGAAGAAACTGTGACGTCCTGTGTTGTGGTAGGGGATACGACACCTTGGTAACCGTCTTGAAGGAGCCGTGTAGGTGCCGGGTAGTCTGGTGCTGTGACGTCCACTGCCAAAACTGTTCTCGTAAAGTCGAGCTCTTCATCTGTAAATAAATACAATGACAAAAAGAGGAAATTGCGAGACGTGAATAGTGTCAATTTGATCCAGATACACAGTAAATCCTTACAATGACACGACGTAGACAGTCATTACTGCATAACAACGGTACTTGCTTCATTCAGACATAGGTCACTGCAAAGACAATTGTAGCAGGGAAGATCTTCACTAGACGACCTTTTGCTTACTTTTGAGCAAAATGTTGCCCAACAAAGATTTGCTCTGTTGTCTTATTACCCTACTTGTAGGCATTTCGCCTTCCAGGTCTCTAGGACACTGCTGCTGTGGATACCAGTATGAAGCTAGATTCACGTCTATTGATTACACTAGGATTATGTCCACCAAGATATTAATGTAAAGTATATATTGAAAATGGCATCAAATACGACAAGTTGAAGATTAAGACATGTTGGGTATCATTATTGTTAAAAAGTTTCGTTTACACAGTAGGCTTCTTCAGTCAAAGACAGAGGCAGCAGCTGTAGTAGTGAAATAAAGATGTAATCAGTCCATTAACCTTGTAGAAAAAGTATTTGAGATGGTCAGTCCCTTGGCCTGCAGAAAAGTTCATCTCTATGGTCTGAGGGACTGACCATGGATCTGGATTCTTCTCCAGGCTGAGAGACTGACGATCTCAAATACTTTTTCTCCAAAGTTGGTGGACTGATTACATCATCTTTATTACACCACTACACCTGCTGCCTCTATATTTGACTGAAGAAGTCTACTGTGTAGGCGTAACAACGTTTCAACAATAAAGATACCCAACTGTTACACATGTGTCTTAATCTTTAACATAAAGTAGTCTTTAACCTATATGAGCAATTAAAAAATACTGAAAGATATATAATATATATATTATATATATATATATATATATATATATATATATATATATAATATATATATATATATATATATGTGTGTGTGTGTGTGTTTGTGTGTGAAAACCACTGTGAAAGAAGCGCTTGGAATTTCTCTATTCTTTCACAGTGGTTGTTTTGCATATTCTGAAATCACCTGTTTACTGTGATCTTATTGTATATATATATATATATAAATTTTATATATATATATATATATATATATATATTATATATATATATTAATATATATATAACACTGATCTCTGGCTGAAAGAGGCTCGAACCTACGAACCTTGGAACAAGGTACGCAGTGCTATACCATTCTCACCACTCTGGACCAATACCTTGGCGTCCAGCTTGCGCTAGACTTTGATCCAAGGCAGCCAGCTCTTACGAATTCCTTGCATATATTTTTAGATATATATATATTTATATATAGTTTATTTATATATGAGAGTGTAGTGCATAGAGTTGTTGTTGTTAGTGAGTGAGTGTGAGTTAGTGATGTTGTGTGTGATAGAGTGTTTTGAGTGAGTGTTTGTGGGTGTGTTTTTGGGTTGAGTTTGATTGAGGGCTGTGTAGTGTGTGACGTTTGAGTAGGGAGATTTAGTGATATGTGAAGTTTGTGTGTTAGTGTTAGTGATTGAGATTGTGTGCGGTGAGTGTGAGAGGTGTTTGTATAGTGATGTTCGGAGAGTATTGTAGAGATTTGTTGTGTGATTGTTAGTGAGTTGAGTGTGTTTTATTGTGTATATTATTGAGTTAGATATTTATAGTTTTTAGGTGCAGTATTGTTATAGTTGAGTATTTAGATTGATTATTTTTGTTGTGATATATTAGTTAGTGATAGAAGATGCTTAGGATTTTTATGTTATATAGTGTATTGTTCTTGAGTAGTTATAGTAGATATGTGTTTTTGTGGTTTAGTATTTGGTAGATAGATTTAGATGTGAGATGGATTTATAGTGTGTAGTCTTAGAGTTTTGTGTGATATATTTGTTGAGAGTCGAGTGTGTGTGAGTGGTGTGAGTGATGAGTTATAGATTTGATTGTATGTTATTTATATTGAATATGAGTGATTGTAGTTGTGTGTGTTAGGTTTGTGGGAGAGTCGATATTGTGATGTTAGAGTTTTATTTAGATAGTTTTGGTGTAGTTGTTGGAGTGTGGGAGTTGATATAGTTATGTTATTTGTTTGTTTTGATGTTGTTTTATGGTGAGTGTGTTAGTGGAGTGCTTAGTGGTTATATAGTGATATGAGAGTGATTTTTGATGTGATGTGTCAGTGTGTGTTATGTTTTTGTTGAGAGTTAGTGAGTTTGAGAGTATAGTTTGAGTAGAGAGTGTGTAGTTAGTGGGTTCTAGATTTTTGTTTATTCGTTGAGTGATTTTTAGATGATATTATATTAGTTTTTGATTAGATATATTAGAGATTATATAGGTGTTTCTATAGATTTAGGTTTATATTGATATATATATTATATATTTTGATTTATATATAGAGTGTATATATGGATATAGTGATATTTGTGTGGTGATATATATGTTTTATTTTTATGTTTTGTATAAGTGATAGTGTTATTAGTGTGTGTTTGAGTTTGATGTGTTTAGTTTAGTGATATTTTGAGTATGTGTGTAGTGATGAGATAGTTTTGTGTTTTTTAAGATATTTTTATTTTTTTATATGTATGTTATATGTTAAGTGAGTGATTGATTTATATGTTTATATAGATATTTTTATATATATATTGTGGGATTGAGTTTGATATTTAATAGTATATAGTTAGATTATATTTTGATGATATGGTGATGGTTATATATTATGATTTAGTTAGTGATTTTTTTTATTTTGTTTGTTTTGTTTTTGGGAGATAAGTGTGAGTGATATTTATTTTATCAGTGATATAGTTGGAGTTATATTATAGATTTTTTATGTTGACAGTTATAATATTTATATAGACTTTATGTATATAGATATTGCTATAGTATGTATATTTTGATAGATATTATTTATTGTATTAGTTTTTTATGTTTATAGTATATATTGTTGGTTTTTACTGTATTTGGTGTTTGTGTTATATATATTATATATATATATTATTTATTTTTATATATTTATTTTTTTAGGGTGATATATAGTTTTTTTATGTATTTAGAGTTTTTTTTGATTTTTTATCAGATTTAGATATTTTTAGTGGTATTTTATTATATATGATTAGTTTTATAATATATTGTTGTATTATATTGGTATATTTATTATATATTGTATTTATGTATATTTTATATATTGTTTTATTTATTTATTATATATTTATTTTTATTAGTTATATATTTATACTATAGAATAGGATATTTTTTTAGAGAGATATAGTTTTATATCATTTAGGTGAGATAGTATATATAGATTTTATATATGTTTATTCATATATTGATTGGATATATTGATATATATTTATAGTAGCTATATATTTTTATATGATATATATATATAGAGTTATATTTTATATTTTATTTGTTTGTGACTTTTTTTGTGTGTTGTTATATTTATTGTGAGGTTATATATTTTGATTATAGATGTGATTGTGGTTGATTATATTGGTAGATGTTTAGTTTAGATATTAGATATTTTTATATATGAGTGTTTATATTTTTTCTATTGATTTAGAGTTTATAGATGTGTTATAGGTTTGAGATTAGGTAGATGATATTTGTGAGTGATGATTAGAGTTTTATAGATATGATATATGAGTTATATATATATATTTATATATTTATTTAGATATTTATATATTGATTAGATAAATTTTTATGATAGTTTTAGTGATATAGCTTTTTTTTGTATTTTATTATATTTTGAGGTTGTTTGTTATATATATTTAAGAGTATTTTTGTTTGTGTTTTATTTTTATAATAGTAGTGTTATATGATTTGTATATGTTATATATTTATATATATATATTTTTATTATATATATATTTTTATAATTTCTCTGATTTTATATTTTTTTTTTACTAGTTATATATATGTATAGATAATTTAGTATGTTTATAGATATTATTTAGTGAGATTGAGTGTTAGAGTGCTTGTGTTGAGTGAATGGTGGTTTTTGTTTCTAGATTTTGTGAGATTGAGTGTATTGGATATTTATTGTTATATATTGTGAGTGAGATATGTAGTTATTATCTGAGTAGAGTTATTGTTATTGGTTTTGTCTATATGATTACATATATATATTAATATATATTTATATATATATATATATATTATTATTTTATATATATATATAATATAGTTATTATATATTTATATATATTATATTATATGTATATTATATATTTATATATATATATATATATATATATATATATTATTTATTTATTATAAATATTATATCTTTTAGATTTATATAATATCTATTTATTATATTTTTATTTAATTTTTTTTTTTTTTTTATATTTTATATATTATATATATTTATATTAATATATTATATTTATATATATTTATTATTATATATATATATATTTTATTATATATTATATATTTATATATATTATATATTGTATATATATATATAATTTATATATTTATATATTTATTAGTTTATCTTTATTTATATATATTTATTATATATTTATATATATATAGTATTATATATTGATATATATTATATATATTATATATTTTATATATATATATAATATTATATATTTATATATATATTATATTATATATTTATATATATATATATATATATTATAATTATATATATATATTATATTATTTATATATATATATATTATATATTTATATATATATAATTTATATATTTATTATATTATATTATATATTTATATATATATTTATTATATATTTATATCATATATATATTATATATTTATATATATTATATTATAATAATTCTATTATATATATATATATTTATATATATATATTATTTTATATTATATATTATTTTTATATATATATATTCTATATTTATAATTATATTTATATTTTTATTTATATATATAATATATTATATATATTTATATATTATATATTATTTATATATATCTTATATATTTATATATATATATTATTTTTTATATAATATCTATATATTTATATATATATATTATATATTATATTATATATTATATATTTATTAATATCATTATATATTTATATATATATATTATAATTATATATAATATATATTTTATATCTCTATATATTTATATATATATAGTAATATATTTATATATATATATATATTATTATTATATATATATATATATATATATTATATATTTATAGATATATATATTAGTTATTATATTATATATTATAATTATATACTATATATATATATATTATATATATATATATTCTATTTTATAGATTTATAATAATATATATATTTTTAATTTATATATATATTATTATATATTTTATATATATATACTATATATTTTATATTTATATATATATATTATTTTTATTAAATATATTCTATAGGTAATATATATATATTTATATATATATATTTTATATTATTTATTTTATATATATATATATATTATTAATATTTTTATATATATAATATATATATTTATTTATATATATTCTATATATTTATCTATATTCTCTATTATATATTATATATATATATTATATATATAATATATCTATATATTATTTTTTTATATTATATATATATTTATATATTTGAATTATATATATATATATATATATAATTATATATTTAAATATATATATATATTATCTATTTTATTTATATATATATATTTTATATATTTAATATATATATATATTATATATTTATATTATATATATTATATATTATATATATATATATATTTTATATAATTTCTATATATATATATCTATTTTAATTTATATTATATCTCTATATATATTATATTTAAATCTATATATAT